TAAACATCGCCACGAGGGAGACAAAGGCGGCCGGGCGTGGTCCTGGCCACCCACCCCACTCGTGTGCCGTGCCGGCCTTCATAGGTTGCTACTCGCTTTGTCTTTGTCCGGTTTGATCAGTGTGTGCGTGGTGTGCGTGTGTGTCAGTGCCTCTGAGAACCCATAGACTCGTTAAGACGCAGAGACACGGGGGGAGAGAGAGAGAGCGTGAATGGAGAATAGAGCAGGGGCCTGGGTGGAGGGGTGAACAAAGCGGAGACGGGGAACCCAAAAAAGTGGATGAGAGGAGATACGTGAAAGCGAGATGGAGATTAGAAGACAAATGGGCAGAGAGAGAGAGACTACTTTTTGTTGTTGTGTATTATAGAAACTCTTTAAGACCTCGTTTCCAAATAGTGAAAAATAATCCACTGGTCGGCGAAGGCCTTCCCAGTGCTCGTGTGGGGAGGGCGGTTGTTTGACCATACTTCACCACGCTGGTCGTGCAGGATGAATAGAACTCAGACAGCTGGGTTCAGAACACAGCGTGCTAACCACAGCGCCACCGCTCCACGCGTTGCTACCAACGCCACCATCAATACTACAACCACCACCAACATCACCATCATCATTACTATCACTGACATTTTTAGCTTCAACAATTATTGTGACTACGATCACCATCATCACCAGAATCACCACCATCATCATCATCACCACCACCACCATCATAATCACCATCATCACCACCATCATTACTATCATCACCACCACCATCATAAGCACCATCATCACCACCATCATCATCACCATCATCATTACTATCACTACCATTTTTAGTTTCATTCATTATCGTGACTACGATCGTCATCACCATCGCCACCACCATCATCATCATCATCCTCTTTTCTTCAGGGCTAACAAAACGAGTAAGTGACCTTTCAGAAAGCCAGCAATGTAACGCGTTACACAATCTACAAGTCCCCGTTATTAGAATACATCCACAGCCCTTAAGCGAGAAAGAGACGCGATTCTACTGGGCCAAGAAAGGCGAGGAGCGGTGGCGCAGCGGTGAGCGCACTGTTCTTAACCCCGGCTGCTTGAGTTCGTTTCCCGGCCACGGCTAACATCAGTGGCGAGTTCCAACTGAAGAGTGGTCAAACAGTACGGCACGTGAAGTCATCTGTCCAGCGGTGAGATTGACAATGGCCTGTAACAGTGAAAACACAATTTAAATGTTCGTATCCACAAAATATCGGCAAAAAACCCCGAGGAATATATCCAGAGAGTGTGTGTGTGTGTGTGAGAGAGATACGTTCCAAGTTGATTCTTTTTAACGAGGTAAGAACTCAAGATGCCAGGGTGAGTTTCATCTGAAGACTGACCTGGGATTCTAGATTTGAAGCTTTCGTGGCTGCAATGATTCATATTCTTAGGTTTTTTCGGTAAAATCACGTAGGTAAAAAATAAAAAAATAAAATTAATAAAAGTAAAATAAAATAAAAATAAAAAATCACGACGTTCCACCTGAAGACGGAAGCTTGTGTTGCCTCCGAAACGTCGTGATTTTTTTGTATATTTTTTTACTTTTATTAATTTTAATTTTTTACTTACGTGACTTTACCGAAAAAACCTAAGAATACTGACCTGGGATATTCGTCTGCCGGACGATTATCTCAATTGAGTGACAGCAGATACAGAGTTACGTCTCCCCCCCCCACCCCTTTCACGTCGTTTCGCAATCACGTCGCCACTTAATTAACACGGCGACCTGATTTGCGTCGACCCAAGCCCCACACTTACATCGCTGACAGCGTCGTCCGTTCCTCTCTCGATATCCGTCGCCTCTCAGCCTCCACCACCACCACCAACCAACCACCTCCTGCTACCCTGTACATCGCTTCGATGTTTTACGTCGCTTCGATATTCGCCGTCGCAACATCCAGGAACGCATCCTGGACGTAAACCGGGGTATTGGTGGTAACAACGAAGGTGCAGATAAAGCAGCGAAGCGAGAGACGGAAAGACAGCGGAGACACAAGGGCGAGAAAGACGAACAGAACGACCGCATAGCAAGAGGTCAACGTGTATTTAGACACCATCGAAGTACACACAGAGAGAAAGAGAGACAAAGACGGAGAGAGGGAGACAGATACACAGAGCCGAGAAACAGGAAGAAACCACAGCTTAGAGAAGCGACACACAACAGACAAAGATCCCCAGGATAGCCTTACCAGACTGTTGGGGCAAGTGCTGTTAGCGAGCACTTACGAAGCAATACACGCAGAGAGCACTTACGAAGCAATACACGCAGAGAAAGACACACACACCGATAGACACACAATTACACAGACACACATATAGACACAAATATAAATATCCCCAAGATAGCCTTACGAGACTGTTGGGGCAAGTGCTGTTAGCGAGCACCTATGAAGGCCGGAACGGTACACGAGGGGGGTGGGTGGCCAACACCACGCCCGGCCGCCTTTGTCTCCCCAATGCGGAATATTTTACACACCGCACCAGGTTCTCATCTGAGGCTGAGCCGACCTAGGGGAGGCCCAAGACCGGTTCAGATAATCGTCACTGGGTGTTGGCCGTGATCGGGAATCGAACTCGGTTCGCTGGGTTCGTGGCGCAGCGCGCTGACCGCTACACTACCGCTCCCCACAAAGACAAAGATCCCCCGTATAGACTTTAACAGACTGTTGGGGCAAGTGCTGTTAGCGAGCACATATGAAGGCCGGAACGGTACACGAGGGGGTGGGTGGCCAGCACCACGCCCGACCGCCTTTGTCTCCCTAGTGGCAATGTTTACACACCGCACCAGGTACTCATTTGAGGCTGAGTCGACCTAGGGAAGGCCCGGGACCGGTTCAGATAATCGTCACTGGTGTTGTCCGTGAGTGGGAATCGAACCCGTGTCGCCGGGTTCATAGCGCAGCGCGCTGACCGCTACACAACCGCTCCCCACACACACAGAAAGACACACACACAGACACACACACACATAGACATCTGAGCAAGAGAGAGACACACGGACACACGTGAAAACAACGCTGTTATAGTATGGGCTCAGTAGGCACAGAGAGACGCGTCAGCATACTTGCCCCGTGCCCTTTAAGAAGAAAATAGTCCCCAGACCACACAAACCTCCTTCATACAACCTATACCTCTCGGTTGTCAAAGACCCGCGCGCGTGTGTGTGTACATGTATGTGCGCGTGTATGTATATGTGTGTGTGTAAACATAAGCACTGGGGAGACAAAGGCGGCTGGGCGAAATCCTAGCAACGCCACCTCCTCGTGCGCAGTTAATAAGTGCTCGCTAACATCACTTGCCCCAGCAGTTTAGATAGGCTACACGGTAGGTCTTTAGATTTATATATGTGCGTGTTAGGCTACGTGTGTGTGTGCGTGCGCTAGCCATCGATGTGTGTGAGAGAGGTTGGAGGAGGGATGGTGGTGATGGTGGTGGCGAGATAGAAGGAGCGATGGTGGATCAGAGGTGATGGTGGTGGTGGAAGAGAGGTGATGGTGGTGGTAGAGAGGTGATGGTGGTTATAGATGAGAGGTGGTGGTGGTGGTGGTGGAGGATGAGAGGTGATGGTGGTGGATGAGAGGTCATGGTGGTGATGGAGGAGAGGTGATGGTGGTGGATGAGAGGTGATGGTGGTTATAGATGAGAGGTGATGGTGGTGGATGAGAGGTGATGGTGGTGGATGAGAGGTGATGGTGGTTATAGATGAGAGGTGGTGGTGGTGGTGGTGGAGGATGAGAGGTGATGGTGGTGGATGAGAGGTGATGGTGGTGGATGAGAGGTGATGGTGGTGGATGAGAGGTGATGGTGGTGGATGAGAGGTGATGGTGGTGATGGAGGAGAGGTGATGGTGGTGGTGGATTAGAGGTGATGGTGGTGGTGGAGGAGAGGTGATGGTGGTGGTGGATGAGAGGTGGTGGTGGTGGTGGAGGAGAGGTGATGGTGGTGGTGGATGAGAGGTGATGGTGGTGGTGGATGAGAGGTGATGGTGGTGGAGGAGAGGTGATGGTGGTGGTGGATGAGAGGTGGTGGTGGTGGAGGAGAGGTGATGGTGGTGATGGTGGTGGTGGAGGAGAGGTGATGGTGGTGGTGGATGAGAGGTGGTGGTGGTGGTGGAGGAGAGGTGATGGTGGTGGATGAGAGGTGATGGTGGTGGATGAGAGGTGATGGTGGTGATGGAGGAGAGGTGATGGTGGTGGTGGATGAGAGGTGATGGTGGTGGTGGAGGAGAGGTGATGGTGTTGGTGGATGAGAGGTGGTAGTGGTGGAGGAGAGGTGATGGTGGTGGATGAGAGGTGATGGTGGTGGTGGATGAGAGGTGATGGTGGTGGTGGAGGAGAGGTGATGGTGGTGGTGGATGAGAGGTGATGGTGGTGGTGGAAGAGAGGTGATGGTGGTGGATGAGAGGTGATGGTGGTGGTGGATGAGAGGTGATGGTGGTGGTGGATGAGAGGTGATGGTGGTGGTGGATGAGAGGTAGTGATGGTGGTGGAGGATGAGAGGTGATGGTGGTGGTGGATGAGAGGTGATGGTGGTGGTGGAAGAGAGGTGATGGTGGTGGATGAGAGGTGATGGTGGTGGTGGTGGAAGAGAGGTGATGGTGGTGGTGGAGGAGAGGTGATGATGGTGATGTGTGCAAGACAGAAGTGGGAGGCATGGCTGGTGATGATGATGATGATGATGGAGAGAGAGAGAGAACAGGCGATGATGGTGGTGGAAGAGAGAGGCGATGGTGGTGGTGGTGTGTGCATGAGAGAGAGAGAGAGGCGGGAGGTATGGGTGATGATGATGGTGGTGGTAGTGGAGGAGGAGGAGTGAGCAGAGTGGTGGGGGTGGTTGGCGCGTGATGCGTCCGTGCGTGTGTGCGGTGGGGGGTCGTTTTTGTTGTTAATCCCACCCACCGCATCCCACCACCCTTCCCGCACCCCTAACCCCAACCCTAACCCCGACCCTAACCCCCAACCCCCCTCACTGTTTGGTGATCGGACAAGCTCCACGAAAGCTGCGCGTTGCGGCATCTCGTCCTGGATGCGATCCGTGATCAAACACGCGCCGTCACACACACACACACGGCATCCCAACAGTACACACACACACACACGTGCGCATCACGGCAGTATATAACAGTACTTATTTATTTCCTTCGTAAATGGCGTTCACGCACCGGGCTCCGTCTCCGACTGACGTTCTTCATCTGTTCCTGCTACAGCCGCGAGCGAGTTTCACCACGTAGTTCGCTCGCTTGCTTGCTTGGCGACGGCGGTGATGGTGGCGGTGTTATTAAGTGGTGGTTGTTGTGTCCGGAGCCGAGCAAATATGTCAGCTTGTCAATACGCGTGCGTTAAAAAGTCCTCCTCCAACTTGAAGGCCATCTCTGCTCGTGAAGAATCCATCTCATCCCGGTCTCTCGCTTCTGGAAGTGCGGCGAGGGGGGTGGGTGGGTTGTGTGGATTTCTTCTTCTTCTTCGCGTGAAATATATTTAATTAATTCCGGTAAAGGTCATCTTTTGTGTCCGCTCCACCTCCATATCTTCTTTTGACTCTTTTCTCATTTTCAAAGTCTCTCTTCCAAAAACATCGCCAACAGGCCCACCCGCTCACCCACTCACCCACCGCTCAACCACTCACCCACCCACCCACAGACCTACACACACACACGTACACACAAACACACACACACGCACAGAGGGGGGCCGATCTTGAGCAAGGAGGAGAAGAAGAATAATAAGGAGAAGTTTTGCGTTCCCGCACTCGCTATGGCAATGGTGGTGGGAAATCCATGGCGAGAACCTCCGAACGGAACTCCTATCGCGAGCGGTAACGGCACGCAGACCTCATCCTCGTCATCATCATCTTCATCAGCAGCAGCAGCAGCATCATCAGCAGCCGTGTCTGGAAGTGCCTCGCTATTACTGGGGCAGCAGCAGCAGCAAGCCTCAAGTCTGCAGGCAGCTATCACGGTTGCCGGAAACGTGAGCAGCGTCGATTCATTATCCTCCTCCTCCTCGTTATCATCCTCATCATCATCATCCTCCTCCTCCTCGTCGTCCTCGTCGTCAAAGTCCACGTCCGCCTCCCATCATCATCATCAACAACAACAACATCAGCAGCAGCAACAACAACAGCAACAACATCAACAACACCAGCAGCAACAACAACAACAGCAGCAGCAGCAACAGAACGCGGAGTGCGTGGTTTGTGGAGACAAGTCGAGCGGCAAGCACTACGGGCAGCTGACTTGCGAGGGCTGCAAGAGCTTCTTTAAGCGCAGCGTTCGTCGCAATCTCAACTACGCGTGTCGCGCGGCGCGCGCCTGCCCCATCGACCAGCACCACCGCAACCAGTGCCAGTACTGCCGCCTCAAGAAGTGCCTCAAAGTGGGCATGCGGAGAGAAGGTGGGCCTGCGAGAGGTGTGTGGCCACGGTGTGGGTGGTGGTGATGATGCGTGTGGGGTGTGAGGTTATTGTGTGGGGTGATTGTGTGGTGTGTTATTGTGTGGGGTATGGAGTGATTGTGTGGGGTGTGGAGTTATTGTGTGTGGTGTGAGGTTATTGTGTAGGGAGTGGAGTTATTGTGTGGGGTGTGGTGTGTGGGGAGTGGAATGTGGTGTTATTGTGTAGGGAGTGGAGTTATTGTGTAGGATGTGGTGTGTGGAGTGATTGTGTGGGGAGTGGGGTGTGGTGTTATTGTGTGTGGTGTTATTGTGTGTGGTGTTATTGTGTGTGGTGTTATTGTGTGGGGGGTGTGGTGTGATTGTGTGTGGTGTTATTGTGTGGGGTGTAGAGTCATTGTGTGGTGTTATTGTGTGGGGAGTGGGGTGTGATGTTATTGTGTGGGGTGTGAGGTTATTGTGTGTGTATTGTGTGGGGAGTGGGGTGGGATGTGGTGTGTGGTGTTATTGTGTGGGGAGTGGGGTGTGATGTTATTGTGTGGGATGTGGTGTGTGGTGTTATTGTGTGTGGTGTAATTGTGTGGGATGTGGTGTGTGGTGTTATTTTGTGTGGTACATCCGTGTATGTATATGGTGTGTTATTGTACGTGTGGTGTTATTGTGTGGGTGGAGTTATTCTGTGTGGTGTTATTGTGTGGGGTGTGTTGTGTGGTGTTATTGTGTGTGGAGTTATTGTGTGGGGTGTGGTGTTATTGTGTGTAGAGTTATTGTGTGTGGGAGTGTGGTGTTATTATGTGGGGAGTGGTGTGTGGTGTTATTGTGTGTGGTGTTATTTTGTGTGGTATGTCCGTGTATGTATGTGGTATGCTATTGTACGTGTGGTGTTATTGTGTGTGTGGAGTTATTGTGTGTGTGGAGTTATTGTGTGTGTGGAGTTATTGTGAGCGTGATGTGTGGGATGTGGTGTGTGTGGTGCTATTGTGTGTTGTGATTTTGTCTTTGGTGTGCGTATGTGGTGTTATTGTGCGTGGTATTATTGTGTGGAGGTATTGTGTGGTGTTATTTGTGTGGGGTGTGTGTTGTGTGGGGTCCGTGGTTCTTGCAACCCATCCCCTCGTGTGCCGTGCCAACCTTCATATGTGCACACCAACAGGACTTGCCCCAAAACTGTGTTGAGTCAATCCGGGGGATCTTTGTCTTTGGTGTGTGTGGTGTATGTGGTGTGTGTGGTGCTATTGTGAGTGGTTCTGTCGTGTTCGGTATTTGGTGATGTTAAGGCTATGGGGAGGGGGGGTCTTTGTCTTCTTGTGTGTTGTGTTGTTATTGTGCGGCCTTCATAGGTGCTACTCGCTCACAGCACTTGCCCTAACACTCTGTTAAAGGCTACACGAGGGATCTTTTTTTGTGTGTGATGTGGAGGGATGTGCGTCTCAAGGCCAACTCAGCCTCAAATGAGTACCTCGCGCGGTCGTGTGTAAACATCGCCACGAGGGAGACAAAGGCGGTCCGGCGTGGTTGCGGCCACACCACCCACCTCGTTTACCGTGCCGGCCTTCATAGCGGGTGCTACACGCGAATAGCACTTGCCCCAACAGTCTGTTGAGGCTATACGGGGGGTCTTTGTCCTTCATAGGTGTCAATCGCTATCAGCACTTGCCCCAAAACGTCTGTTGAGGCTATACTGGAAGGGGGGGATCTTTGTCTTTGTACTCCAGGTGTGCCCGTGAGAGGTGCGGTGTTTTTGGTGTGTGCGATAGGGGTGCGTGTGTGTGTGGTGTCTGCGTGGTGTCTGTGTGTGTGTATATATTTACACACACACACAGACACGGTGTGTGTCTGGGTCAAGGTTGGGCATGCGGCGAAAATGTTGGAGCCCGGGGAGGTTGTGTTGGATGGTGTGTGGGTGATGTGTGTGTGTGTGTGTAGTTTGGTGTGTGTGTGATGTGTGTGTGTAGTTTGGTGTGTGTGTGATGTGTGTGTGTAGTTTGGTGTGTGTGTGATGTGTGTGTGTAGTTTGGTGTGTGTGATGTGTGTGTGTGCAGTTTGGTGTGTGTGTGATGTGTGTGTGCAGTTTGTGTGTGTGTGATGTGTGTGTGCAGTTTGGTGTGTGGTGTGTGTGTGTGTGGAGGTTGGTGTGTGTAGTTTGGTTTGTGTGATGTGTGTGTGTGTGTAGTTTGGTGTGTGTGTGTAGTTTGGTGTGTGTGTGTAGTTTGGTGTGTGTGTGTAGTTTGGTGTGTGGTGTGTGTGTGTAGGTTGGTGTGTGTGTGTGTAGTTTGGTGTGTGTCATGTGTGTAGTTTGGTGTGTGTGTGTGTGTCAGGCGTGGTGCTGGCCACCCACCCCCTCGTGTACCGTTCCGGCCTTCATAGGTGCTCGCTTACATGCACTTGCCCCAACAGTCTGTTCCAGGCTACACGGGGAGCTTTGTCTTTGTGTGTGTGTCAAGGTGTGTGTGTGTCAGGATGTGTGTGTGTCGAGGTGTGTGTGTGTGTCAAGGTGTGCGTGTGTGTGTCAAGAAGTGTGTGTTAGGATGTGTGTGTGTCGAGGTGTGTGTGTGTCAGGATGTGTGTGTGTCGAGGTGTGTGTGTGTGTCAAGGTGTGTGTGTGTCAGGGTGTGTGTCGGGGTGTGTGTGTGTGGGGGTGTGTGTCAGGGTGTGTGTGTGTCGAGGTATGTTTGTGTCAGGGTGTGTGTATGTCAAGGTGTGTGTGTCAAGGTGTGTGTGTGTCAGGGTGTGTGTGTGTGTTAAGGTGTGTGTCATGGAGTGTGTGTGTCAGGGTGTGTGTGTCAAGGTGTGGGTGTGTCGAGGTGTGTATGTGTCAGGGTGTGTGTGTCAAGGTGTGTGTGTGTCGAGGTGTGTGTGTGTCAAGGTTTGTATGTGTCAAGGTGTGTGTGTGTGTGTGTATGTCAAGGTGTGTGTGTCAAGGTGTGTGTGTCAGGGTGTGTGTGTTAAGGTGTGTGTGTCATGGTGTGTGTGTGTCAGGGTGTGTGTGTCAAGGTGTGGGTGTGTCGAGGTGTGTGTGTGTGTCAGGGTGTGTGTGTGTGTGTCAAGGTGTGTATGTGTCAGGGTGTGTGTGTCAAGGTGTGTGTGTGTCGAGGTGTGTGTGTGTGTGTGTCAAGGTTTGTATGTGTCAAGGTGTGTGTGTGTGTGTGTATGTCAAGGTGTGTGTGTCAAGGTGTGTGTGTCAGGGTGTGTGTGTTAAGGTGTGTGTGTCATGGTGTGTGTGTGTCAGGGTGTGTGTGTCAAGGTGTGGGTGTGTCGAGGTGTGTGTGTGTGTCAAGGTGTGTATGTGTCAGTGTGTGTGTGTCAAGGTGTGTGTGTGTGTCAAGGTGTGTATGTGTCAAGGTGTGTATGTGTCAAGGTGTGTGTGTGTCGAGGTAGAGGAATACGGCTCGACTGCGGCAAGCGGATAAGGGTGTGTGTGTCCTACTGATTGTCACGTCTCGTGGAGGGTGATGTGTGTGTGTAATGTGGTGATTGTGTGGTGCCGTGTGGGTAGCGTGTAGGGGGTGTATATTGTGGCGTATGAAGTGAATATTGTGGTGTAATATTGTGTATTAGTTTAGTGGGAGATTGTGTGTGTGTGTGGGGTGTGTGTGCGGTGTGTGTGTGTGTATGTGGTGATTGTGGAGTCATTGTGTACGCAGTAGTTGACTACGTTATGTGTGCTGTGCATGTATCGTGTTGTGTGTTGTGTTGTGTATTATAGTGTTTGCTATAGAGTACAGTGTGTTTATTGCGGTGTGTGTAGTTTGGGGTGTGTAGTGTGTGTAGTGTGTGTAGTGTGCGTAGTGTGTTGTGTGTCGTCTAGTGCGTTTAGTGTGGTGTGTGTAGTGTGGTGTGTATAGTGTAATGTGGTGTGTTTAGTGCAGTGTGTGTGTATTACGGTGTGTGGTAAATATGTATAAAGTATTCATTAATCATTAAGATTCGCTGATGACATAATCATCATAGCAGCACATGGTAATGAGCTTCAGGGAATTATTGAAGAACTTAACGAAGTGGGGATAAACATAATGAGTGTGTGTTTATCCATTGTGTGTGTCGTGTGTTGAGTGTTGTGTTGAGTGCTGTGTGTATCGTGTAACTGTGGAGACAAAGGCGGTCGGGCGTGGTGCTGGCCACCCACCCCCTCGTGTGCCGTGCCGGCCTTCATAGATGCTCGCTAACAGCACTTGCCCCAGCAGTCTGTTACAGGCTATACGGGGGACCTTTGTCTTTGTGTCTACACGTATCTCTACATGTGTGTGTGTGTTTATAAGTGTTTAAGCGTATATTCGCTGTTTTTTTTTTATATCTGTACGTAATTTCACATATGTATATGTATCTACGTGTGTATTTATGTACAGCAGAAGATGGATGGAGGTCTGTCGATTATTCTTACGATGTGTTTATCGGTGTCTTTATGTGTATGCCCATTTGCACGCACGCTTGTGTTTGTATGTGTGTACGAATGGACGCAATGTGTTACGTGTTGTCTCTGTTATGTGTATCTATGTGTGTGTGTGTCCCTATGCATTATATAGAGCGGTGGCGCAGTGGTTAGCACACTGCGCTACGAACCCAGCGACCCGAGTTCGATTCCCTTCCCGTCCAAGGCTGACATCAGTGTCGAGTGCTATCTGAATGGGCACTGGGCCTCCCCTAAGTCGACACAGCCTTAAATGAGTACATGCTGCGGTATGCAAACATCAGCACCGGGGAGACAAAGGCGGCCGGGCGTGGTGGTGGAGCTGGCCGCCCCCCGCCTCGTGTGCCGTTCTGGCCTTCAAAGCACTTGACCCAACAGTCTTTGGAGGCTAAACGGCGCATTTAGCTTCGCTTATGTGTCTATATAATTGTGTACCTGTGTGTGTATACGTGTAATATGCAAATCAGTTCACCTATAACACTTGTGTATGTCCCGTGCAGCACGTGCACCTAGCCTGGCACGAAGTCGCGGCTGCGGTTTTACGTCTATTGTGCGTGTATATGTGTGTATGCATTTGTTTATGTGTGCATCTAAGTGGGTTTTTGTGTATT